ACGTTACATTTTTGTTTTTTATATATTTCTTTTTCTTAAAAAGTGTTTCTAATTATATGAAAGTAATTGTGATTAAAAGGTTGTAAGAGAATCGAATGATATTTGGGACTTCTCAAAAATAGGAGATGGGAAGACGGGGCTTATAAAATTATGGAGGGATTAAAGAGATATTTTGAGATGTCGGTGAGTCGAGTGCTTGGGGTTGACAAAGGGTTGACTTTTTGACAAATCGGGCCGTTGATGGAATATTTTGGTGTATGTCGTCGTGTAGATTACTAAGCGGGATTTATTGCTTGGACATACATCTTTTTGGGTGAGCCTTAATGAGACTTTCTGAGATGTATATATATGTAAATAAAACTATTTTGACATGATATTTATTTGGAGCTACATATATGGTCAATAATGGCATATTTTTATGTACATGTTTACGGGTGTATGTTTACACCCGTGTTTGTTTACATGCATATGTCTGTTGTGTGGAAATGCATGTTATTTGTTTATGGACTTTTAAATACTTTTAGCATGCTATTTTGGAGTAGGTTTTCATGTCGCATGACCTTGAAATGGGTGCCGGACAGGTGTGAGCCGTGCAACCCAAGGAATGTCAGTGACATTATGCCATTGTAGAGTCTTTTCATGTGATATATTATCTGTTGATAATTGTGATATGAGGGTCAGGCTCGATATGTCACATTTAGGGTGGCACAACCTTGAAATGGGTGTCGGACGGGGCCAACCACACAACTCAGGGAATGCCAGTGACAGAATGGACCTATTCGGTAAGGTAATTCAAGGGAACTAAATGGTGTTACTTGCTTTTATGGTAACATACATACTATATATTGGTGTTATTTGTTTATGCATGATATGAAGTGTGTATTTATGTGCACGTAAGCCATGAACTCAATTAGCTTTTTAGCTTACAATTAGTATGCATCTGAGGAGTCGATGGTTCAAGTTTTGGAAACGGGAAAGGCAAGGCATAGTTAGGTTCCTTTATGTTATAATCCTTTCTATGTATTTGTTGGTTATTGAACTTATTTCTGTTACGCATTTGGAGTTTATGCAACCTCATATTTCAACACAAAAATAAAACTCAGTACAAGTATACACCTTGAACTACTATCATCTTGTAACAAGTAATAATGGTATATGTACCATCTATCGTTCCCATAGAGAAAGTTTTGTAAAGTTCTTCAAAAGTACACTCTTTTGAAAACTAATTTCAGATGACGAATTCGAGAGATTTGTTTTATTTAAAATTGGGTGGTTTGATTATCAACTAAGAAAATATCAATCGTAAAAAGAATCATAAGGTGCAAAAGTTGATTAAGACACAAAACAGGTGATCCAGTAGAAAGATGAGATAACACTCCTGTCACAGTTTTATAATACCATGGGATGATGTTATAAAATTGTCACGGTATCAACTATCGGATCAGATGGTCTCTCAAGAGTACACACAGACCAACGTGCTATCTATACGATATCATTTATGTTAAAATTCATAAATCCTAGCACAGTACAATATTACCATCCTACAACGTAGGAGTATAGTACTTGTCAGATACTAAAACTCTTTATAGTTTCTCCTATTAACTCATGTTTTCTTATTTATCTTAACTCTGAAAATTAATGCAATTTTATATATAAAATTAGTTGTCAATTAATTCAATATAATCTTCAATGAAATATTAATCACCTGAAAAAAATAGTTAGACAATAATGCTAATAAGACATCTCTATTCTTTCACATCGGCTTTGGTATAAGGTTTTCCTTACACCCCGGGCTAAGGCGTCGCCCATCATTGCTAGGTTTCTTCTCGTCAAAGATGTAAAGACTGAAAAATAACTGATGTGAGAAAGTAAATTGCAGAAATTAAATTGCAAGAATGTAAAAGACTGCAATTTAAAGTACTGAAAATTGAAGTGCAGAAATATAAATGACAGAAGTTAAATTGCTGAAATGTAAATTGCAGAAAAGTAAAGTACGGAAAAGCAAATTGTGAAAATAAAATACTGAAAATTAAAATACTGAAAAGTAAATTGCTTTAAAGTAAAATGCAAAGAAATGTAAATGACATAAAGTAAAAGTAAAGACTTGCAAAGAATAATTTAAAGAAACTTGCATTTTAAGTCATGAAACTTGCAAAACAAGTTTCGTCACTAAAAGTGAGTGAATACTTAGAAACACTTGAAAAACAGATTTTTGTCTAAAGAAATTAATCATGAGCTACAAATGATGTAATCCAATATATTGCAACAATAATCGATTAATTCCACTTTGCAACTAAAATTAAAAAGCTTTTGAAAATTGCAAGTAAGAAAAGAAAGAGATGGAACTTGAATACTTGAACTTAGATTGATGCTTGAGACAAAATAACTACTTAACAATTTCGGTTCTTGGAAGCAAAGAAGCCGAAAGCTAAAATACTAGAGAAGAAATATTAAACCCAAAGGTTAAAGTAGTGATATATGCAAAGAAACAACTCCTATTTATAAGGTGATTAAGTCTTAAACTAGAAGATAGGTTAAAAGCACAAAAGAAGGCTTATAAAATAAGCTAGCCTAAAGCCCAAACCTCAAATCAGTAGCTTCATCTTGTCAGCCCGAGGTTTCGGCCCAAAATAAAAAGGTTTGGCCCACTGCTTGCTCCTATAGTACTTCTGCAACACCACTCTAACAAAATACTCATGTAGGACTACTACAGGACTAACCAGAAACCTTAAAAATCTGCATAATTTGACAAAATATATAAGATTATGATATATTACCACTAATATATATAAAATGAGATATTACATAAAATGAAACAAAAGGACTTAATTTAGACACTAATGGGCAAATAAAACAAATAAAAATGATTAAGAAAATGATGTAATAAAGTCAA